TCTCAGATTCACGTTTCGAAGACAATAGCAGACTTAAAAGGACTGCCTAGTTTTTTCTTTTTCCTAATAGAAACAGACTTCTTTCTTGGAGTTTGGAATAAACTGTTTTTCCTATCCAAATCCAAGTCGTCATCTACTGTTTGGGAAACGAACTTACTTATTCCTCCCTCGTTAGAGTTGACTCCATCTATAGACTTTTGAAGGGCCTGAATTTGAGAGCTGATTGAAAATTCGGAGTCTGATCTGTCCTTTTTGAGTTTGTTTAAATCCATTTTAAACCTATTTAATAGAGTTTCGACATCTTTTTTCTTTAAGGAGAGATCACTGTGAAGGGATTTGATTTCACTAGAAAAGTCAGACTTGACTTTCTCTACAGCAGACTTGATGGATTCTTTAAGCTTGTTAATATTTTCATTAATGTCCGTCATTGAGTCATTAAGATGTTTCATACGTGAGCCGTTGTTTTTCAATTCCCCATCCATAAAGGATTTGAAGTCAGAAAGATCCTTGCCAACATTGGTGGTTTTGATATTAACTTGATTCATATCATTTTTAAAATCTTCTTTGTTCACCAATTTCTCCAAATTAGATTTCAAAGCGGAGTTCTCTTCCTCTAAGCTCTTCACGCAGGATTCAAGAGTTTTCACTCTTTTCTCCAACATTTCGAGACTTGAATTGGTGGCAAGGTGCTTCAGGTCAACAGCAGTACCTTTGGTGGCAGTTTCTTGGATAAGCTCTTTCACTCTGGTCATAAGAGAAGGTTTGTTTTTTCTGGGATTGAAGGAAAGATTATTTACAACAATACCACCAACATATAACAATTTAGAAATAGTAGCAGATTTGAGATCCTCCCGATTGACACTAACATAAGCTAGGTTATTGTCAATACCAATTTCGGGAGATGGTAATTTCCAGCAAGTCATAATAACTTTTTTAAGGTTTTCAAGATTCATTTTATGATCTGAATCCCATTTAAGACGCATAGTAGTTTTAGTAGCGTCCAGTTCAGACAAAAATTGGGGTTTATTTGCAAGAGTGTTATTGGCACTGACAGCCCAGAAACCACTAGAAGGAGAGTAGTTCATGCCAACAATATCCTTACCTCCTCA